CCCCCCCCCCCTCCTCTCTGTTTAATCGGAGAAGCTTACAATAGATAATCTGATTCAAAGTGTCCATAAAATATTTAGTGGCGGTGCATTTTTTGATGCAAACCAATAAGCAAAAAAAATGAACATGTTCAAAAAATACCCGTCTCACTGTTCCGTCCACTTTTAGTATACTTTGATCAGATTTATATGCATGTCCATACCTTCCTCTTCACACTTCCTAAGTTGGCTTATTGAATCTGGGGGTCTGTGCATTAGCCCGCGAACCAGCTGAATTAAAAAAGGAACGAGGACCACCCACCGTATGAGAGCGCTGCAGACGCGCAGATTCTCTTCGCACGTTCAAACGAACAGAATTATGGTTTGGTAAGTTGCCATCATAGTTCAGCCAATCAAGAACATGACGGGTGCGCGACCGCAGAGTGGGTTCTACTGAAGTCGGATCGAAGTCCCACTGCACAATGTGGCTCATGCGTTCCTCAGGGGTATCACCGAACCACTGATAGTTAATTCGAAGGTACTGATTTTGAAGAGGACGCTCATTGAGCACCCTCGTCATCTTCTTTGGTTCCTCAACGCTTCTACCGAGAGCCTCACAAGCTTTGACAACGCTACCGAGGACTGTCTCGACACCTTGTGAAACTGTCATGTCGTCCTGAGGCCTGATGGGCAAGAGCTCGTACCGATCATCAAGACAGTGTACTACCACCCACGCCGTCTCGCTGTACTCTAACAGCATTTCAGTCTCAATATAAACTTGAGGGTTATGAAAGGTAATAGGAACAAGATAGTTGCGTGAAAATGCCTTGGCAGTGTCAGCAGCTAGCTTCCCGAATGTAGTATCTTGCCGCTGGCTGTAGTACACATAAATCGACTTTGTAAAGGGGTGTACTTTAACTATGCGCTCTAAAAGTAAAGCGTACGGCCATACGATCTCGGTTGCTTCGTTTCCAAACTGTGATTTAGGCTTGGGGAGGCCTTTAAAAGGCTCATAGTCATCCCAAGTTTCTTGCATGTGCAAATCCCAACGCTTGATGAACTGATAGGCAGCTGTTTCCTTGGGAGACGTTTGACGCTTTCCAGGGCCACGATGCAGGCCTCGAGGTTTGCGATCAGTCGAAGTAGGAACGTCCTTTATCTGCTCTAGACCATATAGAGGTAGTGTGAAACGTAGATAACGAACCAATGGTTTAGCTAATGCTACTGAAGTAGCATGACCCCGCAGTCTTCTCATTATTTCTGCAGTTTGCACTATATGATTTGAATATTTAATAATTGAAAAAAAATGGGAAAAAAATATCTACCTACGTGCCTGAACCAATGACCAAGAAAATTACCCCACTAAACAAATTGCAATATGCACAACGGCACATACAAAAGAAACTAGATGCGTTTCTTTTAGACGCAAAACAGCTTCGAAATATTATCCTTTAAACGCGGCAATAAGAATATATCGCAAGGTCCTGTAAAAACAACCGACCGTCTCATAGAGACATTACTGTGGTCGAGATTGCTGTAGAACAGCAGCACGCAAGGCAGCGTTCAGCTGCAGTCGTGTCCTGTTCAGGACCCGCGGACACCCATCTCTGTCTTTCTCTAACGCAACACAATACTGGCAGTAGTAAGCCACCTCTGTTGTGTTATTTGAACCACACATGATACACCGCTCTTCTCCTTCCCGGACGAGGCTGCAGTCCTCGCATAAATGAACCTTGCGCATCGTCTCTAGTGTCTCTTCGTATTGAAAATCGCAAATAACGCACCGGCCCTCGTGTAACACACAAACATAGCCCAATGCCTCTCCTACCGGCTTTCGGCACATTTGTAAGTCCTCCTTGGAGTGACGTAACATAGGACAATGTTCCCTATACCTATGTATTAAAAAAATATAGATATGAACTACCGTTCCAAGTCCTTGGAGGACAGACTTAAAAGGTAAAAAGGAAAAAAGATTATAAGCGGTGCTCTATAAAGTATTAAAACCTTCATGGGACACGAAATTAGCACCCACTAAGACGGATCATAAATCTGGTATTTTGTCATTATACTACCTACCTTGCAGATGCCCGTGTCAGATAAAATTACACCAAAAAAAAATTAAGAAAAGCACAAAAATATTACAGACACTCCGAAGAAAGAAAATTGTGATGCGCACTAAATAAAAATCACAGTGCGCATTATCTGAATGAGAATATGCATGATGAACCTATTCTTATCTCTAAGTTATGAGTATTGATTTATTTTGAAAATACAACTACTTTAATGTATCCCTTGTATTTCTCCTCTGAACTTCACGGGGTTCTTCGTCTAAAGGAGAACAGGAGCTAGAATCTGTTCTAGAACGAGCTCGCTTTCGTTCCGGTGACTGACGCAGAGGCTTGAGCTGTAGTGGCTCATCTTGAAACAAGTCATCACCCTCATCTATCTCGTGTTCACACTCCCGGACGTATTCGCGATTTATAGCCGGGACATCGGACTCACAGGACAGTGCTTGGTATATTTCTAAGACTTGCTGCCGGCGCTGTGTGGCAAAAGAAAGCCTCGATTCTATCTCTCGTACGACGTCCTCTAAGACGGCAGGCGCGTTCGGTCGCGGCTCTACCGGACACGAGGCCGTGTTCAAACGACTGTTTGGGGCCGCAGTCGGGGATATTGCCGGCACTGACTCAAAGGCCTCACGCTGTGGCAACGGATGAGATGGGGGCTGTTCAGACCCTATAATAGCATCCTCTTCATTCAATAAAGGTGAAACATCCCGGGGCGCAATAAGAGGGTTTATGACCTCACGCCGCGGTGACGATTCGCGGTACAAGGGCAGGCCCACCGGTGTGTACACACGCCGGCGGCACATAGGGCAATCGTTGTGCATGTGTAACCAATGCCGCACGCACCGGCCGTGAAAAAGGTGACCACAAGGCAGTCGCTTTACTCGTTCGCCCTCCGAAAAGTCGTCCAGGCATATACCGCAAGCCTGTTCAACCGATGCTGAAGTATCATGTAGTTGAGTGAGGATCCGTTGGTACGCGTGAAGGCTACTTCTTCTTCTGAGCGTAATGAAAATCGAAGCAAGAACAAGAATCTGCACCACCAACGGCATATCACGTGGAGAGTACAACCAGAACAAAAATGCGGTAAAGAACATGCAAACATAGCGACACGCCAGATCGAACTCTATAGAACTAGGGTCCATCAGGGTGTCCTCAAGGCCATGTGTAGTGTGCCCTACCCTAGACATCCATCGTGTGAGAAGAGGGTATCCAACAATATGTTGAAAGCAGGTTACTAAAAGTATAAATACTTGAATAGCGCTTGCTGCAGCCTTAACAGTAGATGCGTACCACATAAAAATATCACCCTTCTGTAAGGCTCCCTGACCAGAATGTAAACTGGAAAGAGAGCCTTTACTTACTGCTATTGACGTGGGTAAAGTGGCATAATACGCCCACTGAAGCACGTAGCAAGCCATGAAAATCGCACACCACAATGCGGTACGTAGCTTTTGGAACCTTGTGCAGTGGTTCCAACGGTGCACCCAAACACTCAGACGGCTCTTCCACACACCCAACGCTACACTAGAAACCATTGCAGCACTCCAGTATCTCAGTGTAGATCGCGCACAGAACACATGGATGATAGTGCTCCCTAACATGTATTCATAGTCCAACTCGCTTTCGAACGCATCAACACCGCAGGTGGATGGTAATGTTCCAAACTCCATGATTATGCGTGCGACAACCTGAGAAGTGCAATACACATAGGTATTAAATAGTAACCACGAGCAGCAGAGGAATCCGTAGACTAAAAAAAAACGTGCATTCCAGTAAATTAGCAAACAGGCAGTGAAGATGACCCATGCTTTATCCACATTGACATAAAGTGTGGTAATTAACATACGCTTGAATGATATTTAGATGTATAATACAACCCTATTGACAAATAGGGCCTTTTTACATAATCACACCAAACAAGAAAATGAACCTACTCACTTTTGATGTTCAACTTTGTGTCCTGGATGTGTGAATACTTGCAAAGCAAGTAATAGAAGTAATAATTGCTTCATAAGATAGAGTGGGAATAAAATGCTTATGATTCGAGTTCGTGCGAAAAGTACACCTTTAGTCCATCAATAGAAAACTTTGGTATTGATATATCTCAAATACCCGTTTAAAAACGAGGGGATGATAAATATCAACATGAATTAGTTCTTGTTACACGGAACATTTCCAGAGAAAAACTTTAGGTGATTAGTCACTACAAGCTCATATCATTGAAATCAATTCAAACATCTAAAATATTTACTGAATGTTTTTCCCTATAATGAACATGAGATAATTTTTTTCATTAATTTTTTTATTACCAATCCTAGTAAAATTATAATTCATGTCTAATTGGCATTCACAAAAATGATTATATTACCAATCACAAAAATCGACAGATGACATATAGAAGCAACATTCTATTTCGTATTTTTCAAAGGAGATTATATAGACAAAAGGAAGAAAAACACTGAGTGAAGAAAAGGTACTGTTAAATCTCCTGCGAAAATTTCTTTGTACAGACCCTTTAGATGTCTTTATTATATCACATCATCTGTTATGCCGAATAGTCATAGAATCGACAAAAATTATCGCCCATCATTACTAGGATGATTGCTATTTTTGGACACTAATAACATTGATTTAATAACAATCTTGGGAAAATTAATGAGAATTATTATAATAACAAATGCACATGCGGAAGACAACCCAAATGTACTGCATGCGTGTAAAAGTCTTTTTTCTAGCAAAGAATTAACATTCCATCCAAAGTGAAGGGGCAACTAACAAATGTACTACATAACTTATACTTGGTTAATTAGTCTCACGTTAGAAGTGAGCTTTCATGGAAAATGTTCCTCTTAGAATTTATACTTATAACTTTTATCATAATTCAAAAATTTACTGAAATTAGTGCTCATTAAAACCAATATTTTTCCAGAAGAACAATTTAACTATCAACCGCCTCATTTTTCTAATAGTATATATATATTTACCTATCCTGACACCAACTATGACAGGAGCAAACATGAATATATATATATATATATATATATATATATATATATATATATATAT